CAAATTTAGCATTCAAGTCATAGATGCTGCCATAAGTGTTCTTGGCAGCATTAATGGACACAAAAAAATAAAATTAAATATACATTTCCAAACTGGCCAATGAAAGTGAGTGAAGAATAAATTAATCTTATATATTGGAGTTAATTTCACCAATTATCACTGAAATTTGTAAAAAATTTCAAATTAGTCATCAAAGTATTTTTCTTACTCTAGTAGAGACTATGGTTTATAAAGACTTTGAAAAACTAAAGTAAAACATGATGTGTCGCCGTTGAGTGCCACAATGGACTAAATGGCCAAAGCTAGCACAACAAAGGAATCTTTAGCCTTAGAGCATGCTTGGGAGTGCTTAAATTTTATGTGATTATGAGTTGTAGGTGCTACACAATGTGTGGATAATAAATTGGCAATGGTTGTGATTCATACGAATTATATGGATAAAAGTATGTTTGACCAATTTAAATTATAATTCAAATTTGACCAGACATTCGCTTAATTAGCTTCCATCCATGAATTTTGGATCAAGCAGTACTGTGTTCAACAGTGACATATTGACACAAACACCTTTGCATCTACAAGATACATCGTCTATATTTCACATTTCAACTAACATTCGGAACCCTAATTTGAAGATTGGCGAAATTTTATTTTTGGGGTGGTGGACTTTAATTAAGAAATAATCTAGACTGGAGCGCCCAACTTTGTAATGACGAATGAACTAAACACAATATGTGAACCTGAACAATACGAGATTATCTCATCGTTCATGACCATTGCACCAATCTATACTCTTCGTAAGAAGACTTACAGATTGCGACGAGCCATGAGTCGACTAATCTTGGGTTGGGCTTGGCTCAACTCATCAAGAGTTGGGGTCCTGTCCCAATTTACACATCTAGGTGCTTCTTAATAAGTGTGACCATCTAGACTGAGATAATTCAATGTCATATTGTTGAATGAACCAAATAAGATATGTAAACATACACAATATGAGATTGACCCATCCTCACAACTATTGTGCCAATCTATACTTTTGAAAGAAGTCTCATCGATAGCCCAGATAGTTGTTGGTTGTCTAGTTGGCCCGCCCATCCCAACTGATGGTCTTGGCTTAGTCGTCGGACCAATTGGCATTTGGGTTAAATTCACCAATAGCCACCCAACTTTATACTAGCGTTATTATAGTCACCCAATTTAAATTTGTTTTACTAGGACACCAAACTTTATACATAGTGTCACAATCGCTATCCAATTTGATTTTATTTCACCATGATCATCCAATTTCATATAACGTTTCACCACGACCACCAAATTTTATATAACATTTCATCATAACCACCCAACAGTTTTTCACCATTTTCATTAATTTTAAAAGAGGTAAAACGATAACTTTGTATTATATATATAAAATAAATTTTTAAAAAATTAAAATAAAAACAAAAAAAAAGGTTATTTAGAAAAATAAAATAAAATAAAATGTTATTTAAAAAAAAGGTTTTTAAAATAAAATAAAAACTTATTTTAAAATAAAAATTTTTAAAATTAAAAAAAATATATTATTTTAAAAAAAATTATTTTATATATAATACAAAATTACCATTTGACCCCTTTTAAAGTTAAGAAAAATGTGAAAAGAAATTTGGTGGCCATAGTAAAATTAGGTGGTCATAGTGAAATGCTATATGAAATTGGGTGGTCAAGATGAAATAAAATGAAATTGGGTGCTTATAGTGATACTAATATAAAGTTGGGTGGTATTGGTAAAACAAAATCAAATTGAATGGTCATGATGACACTAATCTAATAAAATTGAAAATATAGTCGTTATTGGGTCTCACTCATCTAATAAAAGTCAACAATAACGGTTAGTTTTTCAATTTTAATTCGATTTTAATCTCTACTAAACAAATTATAAGTATAAAATTGAGTGGTCATTGGTGGATTTTCCAAATTATTGGCCTTTTATTAGAAAA